GCTCTCATCTTGGTATTCATGCGCTTCAGGACAGGGGAAAGCAAGTCACAAAGTTCCATGAAAGTGCCCTTACGCGTGCGAAAGTTTCGTAGCCACTGGGAATCGTCCCAGACCTGCAACACTATGCGGTCCCACCAGTCTGTGCTTGTTTCCCGAGCCCAGAATCGGCGTTCCACAGCATGAACCTGCCCCATTAGCACCATGATGCATGCATTGTCAGGGCCCATGCTTTCAGAGAAATCTGTGTCCATGTCCTGATCACTCACGGGACCGCGCTGACGTCGCCTCCTCGCCCGGTATCGCGTTGCCATGTTCTGGTGCTGCATATACTGCTGAATAATGCGTGTGGTGGTTAATGTGCTCCTAATTGCCAAAGTGAGCTGAGCGGGCTCCATGCTTGCCGTGGTATGGCGTCCGCACAGAAAAAAGGCGCGGAACGATTGTCTGCCGTTGCTCTGACGGAGGGAGGGGCGACTGACGACACGGCTTACAGGGTTGGCTTCAGGGAGCTAAAATCAACAAAGGGGGTGCCTGTACATCAAGGAGTATTTCAGGCAGGACTGCACGGAGGGTTCCAATAAGAAATGGTGCACCTAAGTTATCGTTGTTATTGGAACAAGGAGGTTAGCCTGGCCTCTGATTGATACATGGCTAGATTTACCTCGCTGCACCTTCTCTGTGAGTGACTGCAGTGTGACCTAGAGGAATGAGTCCCCTAGACAGGGGAGGAGGCAAATGAGTACAAAACAAATCTGGTCTATTTCTTGTTTTGACCCACTCCATCTATCTTTTACATCTTTGGCTGGCAGCAGACGGTGCAGAAGGACTGCATGCCATCCACATCTCATGGCTGCTCGGCAGAAGATGGTACAGTACGCCTGCTAGCCATCCCCATCTCTTGCCTGCCTGGCAGAAGATGGTGCAATACGACTGCTAGCAATCCTCATCTCTTGCCTGCCTGGCAGAAGATGGTACAGTACGACTGCTAGCAGTCCGTATCGCCTGCCTGCTCACCATAAGACGGTTCAATAGGACTGACTGCAGGACTAAAGAGAATGACCTGGTCAAGTCACTCCAAATTTAGTCCCTGCGCCCATGTCTGCCCAGGCGCTCCCAGCCGACGCGGCCAGGAGCACCTCGGACACGATGAGGACGACTACCAGTCGTATTGCACCGTCTGCTGCCAGAAGGCAAGGGGTTGCTGCTACTGTGCAGCAAAGCCGTACCGCGTCTGCCAGCACCCAGGAGACATAGGGTGACGGTTACCTGAGCGGGCTCCATGCTTGCTGTGGTATGGCGTCTGCACAGGTAACTCAGGAAAAAAAGGCGCGAAATGATTGTCTGCCCTTGCTTTCACGGAGGGAGGGAGGGAACGGGGGCCTGACGACACGTACCCAGAACCACCCGCGACAATGTTTTAGCCCCATCAGAGCGCTCCATTGTGACTGCTCTGGACAGCACTCTCAGATGCCCGATTGTTTGCCATTGCTCTGACGCTGGGAGGGGCGCTTACAGGGTTGGCTTCAGGGAGCTAAAATCAACAAAGGGGGTGGCTTTACATCAAGGAGTATTTCAGGCAGGACTTCACGGAGGGTTCCAATAAGAAATGGTGCACCTAAGTTATTGTCCTTATTGGAGCAAGAAGGTTAGCCTGGCCTCTGATTGATACATGGCTAGATTTACCTCGCTGCACCTTCTCTGTGAGTGACTGCAGTGTGATCTAGAAGAATGAGTCCCCTAAGACAGGGGAGGGGGGAAGCAAATGAGTACAAAACAAATCTGGTCTATTTCTTGTTTTGACCCACTCCATCTATCTTTTACATCTTTGGCTGGCAGCAGACGGTGCAGAAGGACTGCATGCCATCCACATCTCATGACTGCTCGGCAGAAGATGGTACAGTACGACTGCTAGCAGTCCGTATCGCCTGCCCGCTCACCATAAGACGGTTCAATAGGACTGACTGCAGGACTAAAGAGAATGACCTGGTCAAGTCACTCCAAATTTAGTCCCTGTGCCCATGTCTGCCCAGGCGCTCCTGATCGACCTCACAGAGGCGACCAGGAGCACCTCAGACATGACGATGACGGCTACCAGTCGTACTGTACCGTCTGCTGCCACAAGGCAAGGGGTTGCTGCTACTGTGTAGCAATGCCGTACCGCGTCTGCCAGCACCCAGGAGACATAGGGTGACGGTTACCTGAGCGGGCTCCATGCTTGCCATGGTATGGCGTCTGCACAGGTAACTCAGGAAAAAAGGCGCGAAATGATTGTCTGCCCTTGCTTTCACGGGGGGAGGGAGGGAACGGGAGGCTGACGATATGTACCCAGAACCACCCGCGACAATGTTTTAGCCCCATCAGGCATTGGGATCTCAACCCAGAATTCCAATGGGCAGCGGAGACTGCGGGAACTGTGGGATAGCTACCCACAGTGCAACGCTCCGGAAGTCGACGCTTGCCTCGGTACTGTGGAAGCGCTCCGCCGAGTTAATGCACTTAATGCACTTAGAGCATTTTCTGTGGGGACACACACACTCGAATTTATAAAACCGATTTCTAAAAAACCGACTTCTATAAATTCGACCTTATTCCGTAGTGTAGACATACCCTAGGTCATTGCTACTACCATTGCGACTTTACCTGGTATGACAGCATTATATACAACTTGGGCCATTTGCCAGCTGATGTATTTTTCTGCAGACTGTCAGAGCTACTAGCTACTTCCTTCTCTATGTAATGGATTTAGATAACTCTCTCGGTGCGCCTCTGATTGCTCAGAAACACCACTGAGATATAGTGTGTGTGATCAAAGATGCTCTCATAGGAGAGCAGCGTTTGAAGACTACTAGAGCTGCCTTCACAACTCAGAATTGTAATTGGTCTTTGACATCAATTACTAAAAACCCACTTCTCTATGGCCACGCTGCAGCCCAGGTGAAGATCCTCTTTTATTCAAACTCTCTCCCTGCGCAGATACAAATTTATATCCGCAGATGCGGGTGTCCGTGGATATAAATCAGTATCCATGGAACTGCAGCAGTGAAAGGAGCAGAATGTGGGGCCAGTGCCCTGTACTGTCAGCTCCTCCAGTGTGACTCTACCGCCCCCAACCCCGCCCATTGGGGCAGGCACCAGGCTCACCGGCAACTGTTACTGGTCTCACCTTTCTGTCCAAGCAGTGCGCACACCCCCCAGATGGGACATGCAGACAACTGTGTGGAAGGGATGGCAGCAGGGCTGGGGGTGGTTCAGCCATGCTGGAGGAGCTGCTGGCATGGGGTGCTGGCTTCTGGGAGTGGTGGCCCCATGTTCTGTTCCTTTCACCGTGAGTCCTGCGGTTCCGCGGATATAAATTTTTATATGTGCAGGGCTGTAATTATAGTTGGCAAGTTAGGTCTTTGAGCTCCCACCACTACCATTCTAGCCACTGATGATAGCTTTTAATTTACTGAAGTTGGGGCTTTAATCCATGAAGTTCAGACCTCTTTGATCTTGATTATGTTTGGGGGTTGATCCCAACAGTTTTCACTAGTTCAGCTGAACTAAGGGAGCAATAATATAGACAAGTTCTGCTGGCTTCTCATATTTTAGCTAAACCTGCTGACTAAAATAGTGATTAAAAATTTAGAAACCACCTGAGCTTTATCAACACTATGGAGCTGGCTTGAATGGTGGATGGGATTTTTGTAAACTTTTCTTGTGAAGACACTGCCTTGGATACTGCCACTGTTAGATTTAAGGTATTAAAATCCCCAGGACACGCTGGACTGCCATTTGAGATCTGGAGGGATGGGCCTGTAATGAGTCAACTGTTGAGGTAAAACACTTTGCCTAAGAGGGACATTTACAACACACACCCTTTTTTCCTATTTAATAGGGCAAGGAGGAGACAAATATTGTCTCCACTCTGCTGTTACTGCACAGGGCATATCCCTAGCAGGAGCGATCTTACTATCATAGTGTCATTTTAATGCTCATTTGCAAAGAGCCCCGGGAGGCAAAAGAGGGGAGAGAGATGAGATCAGTAAAACTGAGGGGAAAGCTGCACTGGTAGCATGCTAACTCAGAACAGAGTTGGGGTTTTTACTGTCAATTTAGCAAAGGTTGGAGACAATTTAAAGAAAAACAAAAAAAACTCTTAACACCCTTCAAAAACTGAAGTACCGGTATTATTGACAGACTTGGGAGGGAGCCAGTTGTGGGGATGCAGAAATGTTGGGGTACAAGGGCTGAAGAGAATATTGATGATACCAACAGTTAGTAACAGAAGGGGTAGAGGATGGGGAAAAGCAGGAAAAGAACTGAGGCTGGGATATGTGGGGCGGTGGTAAGAAACAAGATAGTGAGAAACCCAAATCCAAAAGGGCTAGGGTGAAAGCTAGGAAAAACAATGGTGCGTTGTATTTTTTGTTGTTTTTTGTGTTACAGTGAGGATCTTAAGAGTTTCTCTTGGCTATCAGTCGGGTAGCCCAAAAGCTCAAATGGAAAGTCTAGAAGATCTGCTGTCTAAAAGAGTAGAGTAGATTCCCTCTCAAATTAAATTCAATTCAATTCTTTGTAATCTTGAACCAGTCTTGTTCAGAATGAAACTACGGCTTTGCAAAGTGATCATCAAAATTTGGTAGCCAGAATGCTTGGGGACGGGCACACTGGGGGAATGCAGAGCTCTCCCTGCAGCATAGACTTCAAAGGCTTCAGTCCTGCTGGGCTGGGCTCTCTGCTCTGGGCATTGTGACATGCTGCACGGAGTCACAGTGCTACTCACGTTTGGCCCAGCCACACGTTTCATAATGACAGGGCTGTCTGGGCCAAATTTGAGTGAGTGGTGCTACAGTCCCATAAACCTAGTCACAATGCCACTCTCACAGATTTGGCCTGGATGGCTCCCTCCTCAGGGGGACAAGACTAAACTTGAGCAGCACTGCAACCTTGGAGGTTGGGGGCAGGTTGGCACTTAACAAGTCATTTGATTCATTTAACCAGTTTTTAACTTTCCACAGTGAGGGGTTCAAAACCAGGTAAAAACGTCCAACTTCAGGAGAATGAAATTAGAGGACTGTGCTTGAAATCCAGAGAAATCTTTCTCAGTCAGCCTATTCTACTAGAACTTGAAGCCCCACTTAAAATATGTGGTAAGTATTGTGACTTACTGTGTATTGGTCAGTTGACACTTGACTTTCAGTGAACAGGCGTTAACTTGGAAATATCTTTGCAGAAATATTTTGTTTCTTATATATCTATCAATAGGTGTCTTAAATGTAACTAAAATAGAACTAATGTAAAACATCAATTGTAATCAGCTGATTTAAACAAAAGGCTGTATGTAGCATAAGGGCATAAACAAACCAATGTCCAGTTAATCTAAAGAATAGTAATGAAGAGGGTAGCAAATACAGAAGTAAAAAAGTGGGGGATGAGGAGCAGAAACCCCAATGACAAAGATAAGTTGGCTGAAACTAGACTACCAAAAAAGGATGGATGGACTGCTTCCGGGCGGGGGAGTCCCAGAACAGAAGATCTTGTATGAAGCAAGCCCTGCCCTTAGCACAGTCCTGAGTGAATCTAGGGATAGAACAGAGACCCACAGTAGTACTAGGCAAGGTATTTGGGGCATAGATTCCTAGCCTGTCTAATTTATATTGTGATGAAAGGCAAAATGGAAACCACTCCAGTAAGAATACGTAACTCTTTTAAATAGTTCTTAAATTAGGTCGTTTTATTAAATCCTTTTCTGAGACTAAAGATCACCTCAATTTAGAGTAATTTGTTCATTCTATCTTATAACTGCACAGCTGGTTTAAAGTCTAGTAGTCTTTAGAAGTATGATTGCTAGGCATGCTCTGTTTTTAAAAAAAGAAATCTAAACCAGAAGTGAAAGTAGCATTCACTTTAAGCCAACTTTGCAGCTAGGATTTAAATAATCTTGTTACTTTCTTAACACATCCATAAATGGTACTCAAGATTTATATCTGGGAGAGATCTTCTAATTCTTACATATGCAGCATTCTGAAATGAAAAGCTGCAGATGGATGCCATCTGGAGGCATTAAGACCAAAATAATGGGTCTTGATCATAGAATCTTTTCTCAAGCAAAGATTGGAGTCGAATGGGAGTTTACCTGAGTAAAGACTACAGGATTGGGCTCAAAGAGCTTTAACTTTTGGATTGAGGTATTAAAAAAATATGTGTGAATATTCTTAGATAGCAATTCTTTGGTCATTCAGCACAACGTACTGGGTTATGTAACTTCAGTGACTCTGTATACTGCTGAATGTGCATAATTTTCATACTATGACTAGAGACAATTTGATTCTTCAGACATCTATGATGGGCAGCATGTAGCTTTACATGAGATATCAGAAATAGATGTAACTTTTCTCAAGTTTTATTTGGCTAGTAAGTCAGTCAGCAATTGAAGTGAAGTTCTCGCTTATGTACCACTTATGATTGCCTTTGTTTTTAAGGTGACATCCATGGACAATACTATGACTTACTTCGACTCTTTGAATATGGAGGTTTTCCACCAGAAAGCAACTATCTATTTCTTGGTGACTATGTTGATAGAGGAAAACAGTCTTTAGAAACAATTTGTCTCTTATTGGCCTACAAAATCAAATATCCTGAGAATTTTTTCCTTCTTAGAGGGAACCATGAATGTGCCAGCATTAATAGAATTTATGGATTTTATGATGAATGTAAGTAACATTTGTTTTTTGGTGGATGGGAGAGGAGGGTTGTTATACACTTAATTATGCCAGCTTACAAAAATTCTCTCCTGGTCTCTGGTTTTATTTGAACTGTGTACTAACTTACAGCTTCTCTCTTGCATAGCTCAGATGGCCTCTTGGCTTGTTTTAGCAGGTGAAATTTGTACCCTCAAATGATCCAATTATGGTCTGATCAGCAAAATAGAAACTATTGCTTAGAATGACTTGTATAATTTTATTCCTGTTTAATCACTGCTGTGATTAACAGCTCTAACTGCTGTACACTGTTAAAGTTCAAATTGTAAGCCTATCTAATCTTGTATAAGATCGAAATTCTAAATTGGAGTACAAAAATATTTACCTTTTCTCTGAAGTATAAAACTTGTATGTATAATTACATTGTAAATCTTTTAGAGAATAAATGGTCCTTTATCCTATACCCCACTTACCAGATAATAAATACAAGATTTGACTTTTTACAAAACTGTTTACATTAGAAATAGCTGGTCCTTACTTTCCCTTTTCAGGAGGACCTGAATAGTGACATAGCATGAGGATGTAATGTGAACTAACTAGGATGGATTGATTTAAATTAAAGCAGTTTAAATCAACAAGCAAGAAACATTGATTTAAATCAGTCTATTTTAATCATGTTTGCATTTGTACTTTCTTTAGGAAAATAACTAAAAAGGTGTTGTTTTTTTCCCCTTTGGGAACCATTTGTAACTACATATAGCCTTTACACTAAATTTGATGCTTTCTTTCATGAACCAGTAGGGTACACTATATCTATACAAATGTATTTAAGTAATGATACAACTTAACATACATGGTGATGGTACTGCCCACCTAATAACTTTTGGCGCCCCCCCCCCCTTGCTCCAGAGACACTTTTATTATTTATCTACAGTGGAATAGCATGACTGAGGGAGCCATATATCAGAATATCTCATAGCTCACTGGTTAAAGAATTTTCCTGAGAGGTGGGAGACCCCTGTTCAAATCTTCTATGTCCTGACAGAATGGGGGAATTGAATCTGGGTTTTCCACAACCCAGGCAAGTGCTCTAACTACTTAGCTAAAACCTACAAGGCAGGTGCCACCTCAGTTGGCTGGATTTTCTCCTCCATCATCTGGATTTTGAATAAGTCACAATCCTGTAAACAGCATTTGAGCATGCCTACCAGATTGGGCCGTATACATGACTTAGGTGGCCAGATACCTGGTTCATAAATCACTCTGGGGATTTGGCAGGAGATAAGACTCCAGACACCTAGAACGAGGCAGGAGTGTACATTCCCAGAGGCAGAAATAGTAAGCTCCTAGGGAACTCTTACAGCAAAAACATAAGAGCCAAATGAATGTAGGCACCTACAGGGTTCAGCCAGCAGAAGTTTTGTGGATTGCAGTGGAGCTAAAACATACTGGATCCAATCCTATCCTATGTTTTTCAAGATTCAACCTAGTAGATCTCATCCTCACGCCTATTTTTTTCATAGATTGGAAGACCAAAACAAGCTTCCCTGCTTTTTCAACTTCCAGTTGATTTCTTAATTTCAAATGAACTAGTAATAAAACTCAATTAGCAGAATAAACTGAAATGAAGGGAAAAATCTCTCTGCACCTGTAGAAGTGGCTACTGCTGTCCAAAAGCTGGTTTAGCACTTCAGCAATATCTGGTTCCAGTTGCTTAGGCAGTGACTTCCACCACTTTAGTAGTTTGACTTTCTTTAAAAGTTGGCAACAAATATGTTGTACTATTTAATATTTTTTTGTATTTAATTTAAATGATTTTAATTGTAATTTTAGGGTTTTTAAATAAACTTGTATTTAATTCAAATAAGTCCACTTTTTTAAAGTTATCAGCTTTTATCCACCCTCTGCTGCCCCCACTCTTTAGAGGAGACAGAGAGGCAGCTCAGATTACAGGGTTGACATGTTTCATCTCTTCCAAACATCACGTTAAGGTCTTCCAACAAAGGGAAGACAATAAAGACCTGATATATTTCAAATATCGTATATATTTTGGGGGCAGGAGGAGAACTGAAGCTATCTTTGTGCATCCAAATGGAACAGTAAATACTAAAATTGACTTCGGCTTGCAGTTTTACTTCTAAACTAAAATTGTAACTGGCATTCTTGTCTCTTGGTAAAAACAATCTTGCTGACAAGTGACTCTTATTTATTGTTTTGATTCCACTTCACTACTGGCTTATTAAAAGAAAACTCTTAAGATTTAATTATTCATAGTTTGGCAATGGAATGAGGAATCTTTCATGTCTTGTTCAGATCCATCAGACTGGTAAATTTGATCTTGGTGGTCTTAGTATAAATGTATCCACATCATTCAGTTGCTACTGTGGATGACAGAAGAGGGGCCAAGGAGTGAATGGTTCATGAAGACTGAATTACCTTCTAATACAATAGAGTGTGCTGAATTCCTATTACCCCTATTGTGACTGTGGCGCATAGACCTTCTGGTCCTCTGAACATTGGTGAACCTAATCCTTTACGAAGAGGACTTAAGTCTTCATAGTCAATTTGGCAACCAGCAATAATACTCTTTAAAAGAATGTTCATGTAAACTATATGAAAGCAGAATAGAAACTGACATGCAGTAGCCCACTGTGATGCGCTTGTTGCTTTAATGTTATTTTTCAAATACATGATCAGTAATTACACAACCTTTCAAATGGAATTGATTAAATTAATGCCGCTTTCCTAGTTATTGTGCCTTGTGACCTTAACTGTTGGCTGTGTGTGGACTAAAAGCATGCATAAAGACAGTTTTTTTTCATATGTGCTGTCCACAATATACACATTTGATTTTTAAAGTGCTGTGCTATTTCAAAATATAAACTTTGCTTGGAAAATATTACCTTTTTAAGTTTTAAAATCCCTTAGCCCTTTTTATACTATGGGGAGAATAAGGATACGAATTGTGCAGAAAACTAAGACAGTTTTTTGTTTTGCCAAATTTTATAAAGCTGGCTTCATAACTTATGACTCTTCATTATTAAAACACTTTCATAGTCAAAAGAACACTCTACTTTTGATACAGTTGAGGGTTACTGGTGTCCTCTGAACTCTGAAAAAGATAATTTAGGTTTATATACCAAAATGTTAGTGTAGCTCTAGTACCTTGTCCTATATTATCTTGTGCTGTGATCTAATTTGATATTGCATGCTGAGCAGTTTGGACTGTATATGTGTGGATGGAAGACCTCAAAGGAAAACCAAGGTCCTCCATGAAATTACATTGCTGATTCAATAGGTGGCCCTTGTCCCTGAGTGTTGGTGTGAACCCATTATTCCACCATGGTGTTGAGGGTAGCTTTTGGTAAACTCTGAGCCATGTATAGTGTTGCTATGTACTGTTATCACTTGCCACTGGGAGAAAGTGTTGATTCCTATATTAATTAGGCTCTTTTAGGACAAAGACTACATAAGTATACAGTGTAAATCTTAACATAATTCCGTACACAAGTTGCCCAACTTTAGGGGGGGGTCAGTAAGCAAAATACACTCTCTGAATACGTTTGGTCTATGCTAAGAATGTCTCTAAACAAGTGCTCAGTTAATCATAACTTCAGTGTGCTTAAAGTTACGTTTAAAAGCCTTCTGGGGTGAAATTAAAAGTGAAGTTATCCAGCCTGTTAGGATTTTTTTTTAAAGAGTTGAATGAAAATAGGGGGAGAACATGTAAAATACAGTAGACTTCATATGGGAGTGGGGGTCTCTTGCAACTTTATCTCACATTGATTCATCCAGAACATTCTTTGGATGAATTAATGAGGCTTCTAAATCTTCTACATATTCACTGTTGAACAACACAGATTAGTCATAGATGTCTTTATATAAAACAGCATGCACCTCTTGTGCTGCTTAGGATAACTTTTATAAAGACATAACTTTTTTTAATATGCTTAAATTTTAGGTCCAGGTTTTCTGCTAATCTTAGTTTCAACTGGATACAGTTGAGTAGAGTCTGGGTATTAGGGAGACAGTTACACTCCCTGATTCTCTGACTGGTTTTATATCTGCTACAGTACCTGCTAAGTTAAGATTCGCCTCAAGGCTGCTCTGAACACTAGTCAACAGTGGCTTCCAAGGGACAGTCTTTTAGTTACGTATTTCCAGAGTGCAGCATGCTCCCAAAATGCCCCTATACTGGGGCTGCGTGGGTCGGGGGGGATAGGAGTTGGTTGAACTGTCTCTGTGCCTGTTTGAGAAGGTATGAGCAATGCAATGGAAGTAGAACAAGCCAGAGAATCTGGCCCTAACTTGTAAAAGGTCAGTCTCATTCTACACATGTTTCAGAGGAACAGCCGTGTTATCTGTATTCGCAAAAAGAAAAGGAGTACTTGTGGCACCTTAGAGACTAACCAATTTATTTGAGCATGAGCTTTGAAACTCCTACGACTCCAAAAGAAACTTTTAAGAGCCACTTGGCTTTTCTGAATTTGCTACAGTCTGAAACTCATTCAGACCTTTTTTTCATCAGCAGTAGAATGCATTGCATCTAAGAGGAGCTGATCGTGTGTGTGTGCACTCGCACTTCATTTCTACACTGTGGCAAAGTTAAGACAGCAATGGTAGTATTGTAACATTGTTGGATCCTTTCTAGTTCTCATTTGGAGACCATATGTGTTTTTTTTTCTCTAAAACTGCTTTGTAGGTAAAAGAAGATATAACATTAAGCTGTGGAAAACTTTTACAGACTGTTTTAACTGTTTACCAATTGCAGCCATTGTGGATGAAAAAATATTCTGCTGTCATGGAGGTATGTGGTGTTTCTCTAGTGGTTAGTCAAGTGATTGCTAATCCCTTACCTCTAGGTGTGCTAGTTCCATGTTTGTGTTTATGCATTTTCCATAGTTGGAAAATGACTCCCTGTTGGCTTAATCCTCGTTGCTGAAGTTCTGGAACACCTGTTCTCCCAGGGGGAATATGGGAGGCTCAATTCATGCACTGAGCTGGATATTGAAGGTTGAGGTTGAGGTTGAGCTGGATATTGAAGGGTAAGTTAAATAAACCAACCCTAAATGGGTTGTCAAACTCTGGAACTTGCTGCATATATTTTTAGACATTGAAATACTTAATTGAGCAAGTAGTTTAGTACCATTTGGGATATATGGCTGGCTGCTTTTCCTGTTCCATAGATGTTCATCTGCACTCACATCTCCTTTCAAATAGAGAATCTATGCAATTTGCCAAATAGATGGCCTCAGAGACTTACATAGGTTCTAAAAAGAAGAATAAATTCCAAGGACCTCCCTAGGACATGCCAGGGGGTTAGCCTATGCTTAAAAGTCAGTCTTATCCTTTTTGAATTGTACTTAGGTTAGGTTTTTTAACAGCTGTTTATACCACTTCAGTAACTGAATGGGTCTAATGTATAACACAGTCCAAGTGTCACAGCAGTGACATGTGGCTTATTGCAACTCTTGGTATTGGTCTATAATTTGCAACAATTATAGCTTAGCTAGACTCTAGGTGAAAAATAGTATGAATATTCCTCAGTGTTACAGTAACTTAATATCTCCCCATCTTAGTATTTCATGTTACTATTCCTGAACAATGAGACAAGTACAGTATTCTTTCTATTTAAATATCTTTCCGTTTGTGTCTTAAAGGCACACTTTGTAGGTGTTCACAAATATTAAGCAGTGAGAATGATGTATTGCAGTTCTGTAAAATGCAGAAGTGACCTTTCTCATCCTTCTACCTAAATTTGTGAACTTCCACAATAGGCCACTGTTCCTGCTAAATCGTAAAACTGTGAAGACAAGTCACTAACACCTCTTTGTGGCATGATGTGGCCCTTCAGAGTACCATCCACTCGGTTCCTTCCTGATTCTTCCATAATTCATTTATAGCCTGGCGTATTTAAAGTAATGTCCCCCTAGTTGGAGTCTTAATTTGTTAAGTTGTTATACAATAGTGTCTTAGCCCTTCAGATCCAACCTGTCCCACTTGAGGCTTTCAGTTCATGCTTGTAGGCCACTCAGTTCCTTCCCCTTAATTAAGGGGTTTTAACCCTCCTTGTTGAGCTGTGCTATATTTCAGCAGCAGTCAGGCTTCTCCTCACCAGGCTTTTTCCCCTCTTCTTTTTCTCTTTTCCCTTCTCCACCCCCCCACTCCCCCAACAGTTGGGCTTTATCATGTTCAAGAGGTCCTGTATACTACCTGGCCCTCAATTTGCTAGCTTGCATGCCACTCCTATGCACTTTTTTCTTTTATGGGGCCATGTCATGGAATAGGGTTGGCCGGCCGTGGGCCCCACTGCTTCTTGATGGTGAGAGACCACCCTGTTACAGAAAGCTTTTAAAGTTGAATAAAAATAAAACTTTATAAATACTAATCACCACCAGCAAATCAACAGGGTGGACTTTAAGGCTTTTTGTGTCTTAATAGATGAGTCAAAATGTTTGTTAATGTGTGGAACATACTTTGAGTAAAACATTAACCATTTATACATCTTTAAACTCCTAACAGGCCTGTCGCCAGACCTTCAGTCAATGGAACAGATTCGGCGAATTATGCGTCCCACTGATGTACCAGATCAGGGTCTTCTTTGCGATCTGTTATGGTCCGACCCTGACAAAGACGTCTTAGGATGGGGTGAAAACGACAGAGGAGTGTCCTTCACATTTGGTGCTGAAGTGGTTGCAAAGTTTCTCCATAAACATGATTTGGATCTTATATGTAGAGCTCATCAGGTATTTTAACTTTTTTACAAGTACAATCCATGGTCCGGAGCTTCCAGTGGGATCCTAGTGCCTCAGCAGAGTCCAATTAACTTCATTGCTAATAGATCACACTGCAGGATTGGGCCCTGTATCCATTCCTAATTGTTTTGATCTACTTAGTTTAGAATGTCTGTTGTCTAGGCTTAAATGGCTCTTCTACAGCTGTCTGTGCTAGACAGTCATACTATCTCACAGCTGTATGTGGGCTAACACAGAAGCATGTCATTTGAGAAATACTGTTATATGACTGTGTAGTAAGAAACTGTTCCACTCTAATAGAGCTATTTGTCTATTAAAGGTGGTTGAAGATGGGTATGAGTTCTTTGCAAAAAGGCAATTGGTAACTCTATTTTCTGCCCCAAATTACTGTGGAGAATTTGACAATGCTGGTGCCATGATGAGTGTGGATGAAACTCTCATGTGTTCTTTTCAGGTACAGTATTTTAAGATTTTGATTTTTAACAAATTTGCTCTTTAAAAAAAACCAACATACTATTGTAGAAATAAGAAAAGGAGTACTTGTGGCACCTTAGCTTACGCTCAAATAAATTGGTTAGTCTCTAAGGTGCCACAAGTACTCCTTTTCTTTTTGTGAATACAGACTAACGTGGCTGCTACTCTGAACTCTATTGTAGAAATAGTTCTCACTGCAAATAGACTTTTACAAATGTGAAAGGTGGCTGGAAAGGCTACATTCAGTTCAGTCACTCATTCTCTCCTCAGAAAGGATCTAGGTTGCTGTCCACGTTGGCATAAAGTAGAGCACACTTCTCGCCATGAATTAGATTTTCCAACTGAAGTCTTGTCTGTTTTTCTGAATCTTACTGTCATGTGATTCCAGATTGTCTGGTCTAGTACTAGCATAACTGTTGGGTGGGCAGGGATCACACTACTCCTAGCATTGAGCATGCAGAGCTGCTGGCTGACTTTACTCATCATGGTCACCTGTAGGATGTTTTTTACAAGCAAATTAGCAGATTGGCTTATTTGCTGGCTAAATCACCATAGTAAATGACTGAATTGTCTTTTCAGATTTTGAAACCTGCAGAGAAAAAGAAGCCTAATGCTAGCAGACCTGTAACGCCACCAAGGGGTATGATCACAAAACAAGCGAAGAAATAGTAAATTTGGTACTGCCTAGTTGGGACTTGTATTATAGTATATAACCTCCATTTTTAAAACTGTAACGTGTACTGTTCAGCTTGCTCAAAATAGATAAACGTGTTTGTGGTTTTTCATTTTGATTTAATGAATGGCATTTGCTGGTTGTAACAGCAAATGAAAGACTTTTCTCCCTTCCCAAGAAGAGTTTTTAAAACTTCCTTTATGTCGGTGTTACAGCTGTACAGTCCACAGCATCTTATCCTGTCATTATGGGTAATTGTACAACTGACTTTTTTGAATCTGTACAATGAGTAGTGTAAATGCTTGTTTTCTTCTTTAGGAACTAAAGAGAGCACTAGTGTGCTGTGAGATTAGAAATTTGTTACTGTCAGAAGTTACATACTGTTTATACAAACCACTGTGAACTTTTTTTACTTTAAAAATTTGTTTTAAAGGGATTGCTTTTCTTTTAATGTCTTGTCATGTACACATTAGTTTTATTGCTGTCAACATAAGAAATAACCCTCAACCTGACCAGCATCACTGGTATGATGTATATTTAATTAAAGCACACTTCCCCTCTCATATGCTTTAAATGAAAATTAAAGCCATTATTTTAAATGTTTGTGTCTCTTTCCTGAAGCCAAAGTTTCTGTTTAAAAAGCTGTATCTACACAACCCATCAAGATGAGTTGGCAGGGCTTTACATTCAAGCCTTTCTCTTGGAGATAAAAGGAAGTTTTGACTTTAAATACCAAGTTGTAATGCTGTGCTGTTTGTGCTATTAATGGTAAAAGTAAACAATGTTTTGTACAATTTCAATATTCTGTTGAGTGAACCTTCTTACAGTTGCAGTTGTCCTGTGGCAGCCAGTTCCAGAAAGCAGTAACTTGTGGAAATGGTTCTAGATCTGCCTGAGAATTTGTCCATATCTGGCCTAAAGACTTGCTTCTGCAAAGAAGCCTAGAAAATAACTTGATAAGCCAACCAAGCTCAGGAGTTATTTCTGTTCACCAGTTTATACAAATCTAAGTCTCTTGTTTTTAAAAACAAAACTGTTAATCTTTTTTTGAACAGATGACAGTGTACAATACCATGTAGTGAAAATAATTCACTTATTAAACAAAGAAATTGTTAAATCTTCTCAGTGTCTATTTATCAGCACAATACACACCTGAATTGTCAGAAGATTTGACCAAATTAGATGAATATATTGATCTGGAAATGCACAAACTCATCTTGGAATTATGTCGGCGCTTCACACACTTGAGGTATGCTTCTAAAGGGAAGGTCTTGATATAGATCCATTATGCTTGCCTGTAAAACTTGAGTGCCTCCCCATTAAAAGTGAGATGGGAGAGTTGTGCTGTCAGACTAACTTGCTAGAGACACTCCTGTAGATCCAGTATAGTATACAAGTAAATTTAAGTTCTAAATTTGTCACTGAAAATACAGCAGCTTAAATATTTGTCTTCCATATATCAAGATAGCTGGAACACAACTCCTAGACAGTTTTGTTCGCTTTCTGCTGGAATGGGGAAAGAATGTGCTGTAAGATCTTCCTGCAGCCTTGAACTGTGCTATTTTGCTTTCCCCTCAAAATTCAGACTCTTTGATACTCCTCCCCCAATTTCACCTTTGCAACCCAAAACTTGGCCTCATATCTTCAGTAGGCTTTACTAGTATAATGGTACTTCCATTTAGTAGCAGTATAATGTGAGAGGGAATGTAAGTTTATATTTAAAGCCAAAAGCTTTAAATGATAGTAAGTTCCTGGTGATTAAGTTCCCAGATAAGAATGCTAATGGAGAAAATACTACACATTTTTTCTGAAAGACTTTGCAAAGTAGTATTTTAAAAGTAGAATGAAGTAGTTTGTCCAGCCTTCTTTCAAACAGCTTTGTCAGGAAGAACTCTTATCTCATATCTAAGTATATGGTTATCTGACTGTAATTACAGAACAAGTCTTCATCACTGTGAATGTTAGATTAATAGATTTTAAGGACAGAAGGAACCATTAAATCATCAGTCTGACTCTTTTGTATAACACAGGCTAAAGAATTTCATTGTTACTTCAATATGAAAGGAATTATATGAGGGGGTTGGCTGTGATAGCAGGGGACCGGACTCAGATAGGACTGAAGGGATCATTGAGCCCAATATTCTTTGCTCAAATGCAAGTTATCTCTGAGAGTCCTCTAATCTTGATTTGAAGACTACAACAGATTGAGCATCCACCACTTTCTTGGTGGCTTGTTCCAATAGCTAATCACCCTAGCTGTTAGCAATAAGGCAAAACATTTTAACTTTAATTTGTCTGGTTGTAACTTCTAGCCATTGGCTCTTGTTCTACCTTACAGATAGATTAAAAATCCATTTAGTACAGTGGTTCTTAACCTTTGCTGCAGCCTGCACCCCTTTGGTTCTCAAAATATGTTTTTGCACCCCTTATAAAAAATCATTTGAAGTAGGTCAGTTCTTTAAACCTAGATATATTTTGTTTGTGTATTACAGTAATTGTTTAAAAATGTATAATGTTAATAAATACATAGGTTTGATGAAACAAAGTAGTTGTACTTAATTTGTGTTTTCCATGATTTACCTTCTAAAAAAAACCTGGCATGTCTCACACCCCCAGAAAGAACATCTTGCACCCCAAGTTAAGAACCACTGCTTTAGTACCAGATACCGTCTCCATATGAAGGGGAACAAGAAGCAGTAGTGAGGATTTTTTTTTTCCCTGATCAACCTTGTATAAGAGAACTTGTAGCAAGACACAGTTCTTATGCCATGCCCATCATGGTAAGTATCTGCATCTACTGAGGCTCATCTCTTCTCCCTGTTATGCCCTGCAGCACTATTTGTTTTACACCCATCTAATGGGATAAAGTGTTAATACTGAAGTATTATGGTGAGCACTAACTAGCTAAAACAGTTAAAATATAGTCTTAAATATTGCATGTCCTTGTTACTTAGACATGAATTCATCTCTTACTAGAGCAGATGGGAACCAGGAATGGAGGCTTCTCGCCTGCTTGCTCCTATCTTTGTGTTAAGTGGCCCCACAGTGCCCTATTTATCAGACGCAGCCTTACAACATCACAGATGGGAACCATTTGCCTGATCAGAGTTCCTCCAGTAGAGTTGGGTCATATAGCTCTGGGTTAATGCAAGTCAGAATGGAGATTTGATTAGGAAGATCTCAGTGAAGTTTCTGTCATACCATGTGTGTTAACCTTGTAATATTTACAGTTTATTTTCTACTCGCATTGAATAGGGGAGTAGAAAATCCGTTTGTCTCTTTGGACAAAATTACACATCTGGTTGATAGAGGTAGTTACATTGTTGTATACATGGACTTCTTGAAGGCCTGTGGCAGCACTGGTAGGACTGCTACAAGAAGACTTCAAGAAGAACCTGGAAATAGTGGAGAAAGTTCAAAGGAGGATAACAAATGTTATCCAAGACCTGGAAAACAAGTGTTAGAATGTGAGGCTTAAGGAGCTCAATTTATGCAACTTACCAAAGAGAATAAGAGGTGGCTTGATAAAAGTATATACGAGACGCGCGTGCGCACACACGCGCGATATCTAATAGTGGGAAGCTCTTAACTCATATTGACAGACATAACCAGGTTCACTGGCTGGGACTTGAAGTTAGACCAGTTCAGCCTTGACATAAGACTATGTCCTAGCAGTGAGGATAACTAAACATGGGAATATCTTACAGCAGAGGTAGAGTTGTCACCATCACAGGGAGTTCTTAAAATTAGATACTTTTCTACAGCTTGTGTGCGCAGAGGCTTGGGCTGGTCCTGGGTGTCCTTTCAGGCTGTGAAGTCCTTTCCTTCATGGCCCATGGGGAGAACAGGATTGCCTACGTTGCCCTCGGTACACTTACAACACTGGCAACTCTGCATTGACCATCACTATAATCAAAACTTAGGCTTCACCTGGTCACCTGCAGCAGTCTTGAAAGATTTTTATTTTTTATGCATAATTGGCAATATGTATCCAGGGTGTGTTTTACGTTCCTTGAAAAACAAATTCTCCACAGATAAAGATGGTGCACCAGATGGGGTGGGCCTTGCCAGAAGATACCTGGGATTACCAGACAGCCCCACCCATCCTTCCATCACTGTCTCTTGTTTGGCATTGATCATGGATAGGACAGCTCAATCCTTGTTTCTGTGAGGATTTTTCATTAGCCATCTTGTCAGGCTGTGCAGACCCTCCTGTGGGCAGCCTTTTGTGCCTATCACTGTTGCATTGCCCCTAGGCTGTTGCAGGAGGAGCAGCATTCTGTCATGAGATGCTGAGTGGATTAAAGTTGCCATCAAATAAACTTTTTGGCAACACCACCCAGCAGTTATTTCCTTTATGTTCAGAATATTTACAAATGCTCACAGAATACAGCTTCAGACATCTGTCAAAATGTGCTGACCCCTCCTGCCTTGCCCTGCAGAATCTCTCAGGCAGTAAGGTGCAAGACCTAGCACACAAGACATGGTTACAAGAGGATAAATCTCTGCCTAGGGCCACCTCAAAACTCCAGCAGTAGGGATGCTCAAAACTGCTCTTTCAATGCAAGATACGTGATCTGTGCTAGTAAGAAACCACTCTTGGCTGTTTTTAAAAATGTTTTGTCAACTTTTTAAATTGAATCATATTTTCACTCCCCACATCCTTACCTTTTGTAATAAAATATACAATCTGTGGATTTCAGTTTAAAAAAAAAAAAAAAACCCACTCTCCTGTAGCCGTTTGGCCCAACCCTGTCACGCTACATATGCTCTAAAGGCTACCTCCTATCCAGACCTTACTTATAGTTCATGTTTTTGACATCTCCAGGCTCAATTAGTATGATTCGTTCTAGGCCCAAGTGCTCTTGAAACTTCATTTTATGCAGAATGCTATAATCAGCTTAATCTTTGCTGTTAGATTTACTACTCTTTGTTTTTAAGAGTAGTTCAGAATGCTGGTTATAAAGCCCTGCATTTTCTGGGCATGGGAGAAGCTTCCCCTTGCATCTTGTTAAGGACAATTAAGAGTAGTTTGCAAGTTTGTGCTGTCTGTTCCTGATTAAAATCTGTGCCACTGGGCCACTGTCTTCACTTCCTCTTGTGAAGAGCCAGATTTGGGCAGTCCCCAGGCCCCTGAACAAGTTTGTTCCCACTTGACTCATAAGCAGTTTAAGTAGCTTTGAAGCAGCAAAATAGGAAAGTTTAGATGAGATACCTGCATTTTATTTCAGTTGTGTACTTTCTAAAACTACTGTTTTCAAATGGGTCAGAAAGAAGCGCGAGCGTAATACCTAGCTCTTTCATAGCACTTTTTGTCTTTAGAGCTCAAAGCACATCATAAAGAAATTCCGCAACATTGCCCGCATTTTACAGATGGGGTAACAGTCTTTGTTTTCGTTAGTAGCAGGAAATCAGAACTGAGTCAATTTTATGGCAGTTTTTATATTAGAAATTTGTATCAAAGTGCTACCTCTTCTTTCTGGTAATTTTGTAGAAGTTACTCACTTATAGTTAGCTAGGAGCTGGGCCTTTTCTCTATTTCTCAGCATAATATAATACCTTGCTCTTACATAGAACTTTTCAGCAGTACCTCTCAAGGTGCTTTACAAAGGTCAATATCATTATCCTCATTTTACAGATGGGAATACTGTGGCACAGAGCGTTGACATGACTTGCCCAAAGTGCCCTAGCAAGGCCTGGGGCAGAGCTGTAAATAGAACCCAGATCCTTAGAGCACTAAATGGGGACTATCTACTCAGTAACACTGCCTTCCTAAGCCTAATATAAGGCTATTAATTTGAATAAGTTGTTATCCAGTCTAATGTTCTGTGAGAACATTTTAATCAATTCTTTGGGATACTATTTTGGATAATGGTGCATCATATTTAACTTATCTGAACAAACAACAAGATGGGACTCTTGGTTTAGCATCTCCCTCCAGAGAGCACATTCTCTACAATGAATCACCTTTTAATTTCCCCTGTTTCTCTTCACCCAGACTCCCACTAAGCTATTAACATCAGCAGGGCCTTGAATCTTAGGTTGATAATATCCTGTAATAGTTTAAAACCAAGAAAACACACGATTAACTGGGCCCTTAGATGTGTATTCACTGTG